GGGAACTGGTCTGTATGTGGGATCCAAACCCTCGGGCGGGAGCGCCGCCGCGCTTCCCAAACGGCGCACTATCCAGTGCGCCACCAGGCCGGCCCCAGAAACACAAATTCTAACAGTATTCCAGAACCTCATTTTCACCCTAAGTCAGCTGCCTATAGAATAAAATGCATGTTTTACACAGACAAAATTTAATATTTGTACCAACTGATAAAACATTTATATTTATATGCATGTTATAACTCATAAGTAACCACAGGAATCAAGAGGTTATCAAATGTTCATCTGAGGTCAGTGAGTGGACAACTCCCTCCTGCCTTTCCTGGGACTGGTTCCTGAGAAGTCAGCCCAGTTCAGAGTTGACCCCAATGAGGAACTCATTAATTCAGTATTTACTATGCATTGGACACTGCTGGAGCAAGAAGGAGAGAAGGATGCTGTGGGGTTTGCATTTGTTGGCTTGTGGTACTGTGCTATCACTGCATAATAGCATTTGCTGCCCTCCTAGGTCTGACAATGATGGAAGGAGCCGTTGATTGGCATGTCCATTGATTCCTACCCCTTTTTAATGTATCACAAATAATTAAGGTGTAATATTGATGGCATGAGGCAGGGGATTATTCTGGAATCATGTCTTTGTTTTTTGTTTGTTTTTTTAAAATTAGAATACTGATTTTAAATTTACCATCTAAATGCAGAAAAACATCCTATTATGATTGCTTCTACCTAAAGAAGTGGGTACCACTCAGAGATCATAGCATTAACCATCAGACTCAATCTACCTGGAACAACCTCAGGGATTCTCAGCAAGCCAGGGGGTGCCTGGGCTCTGGCCTCCTTGGCACTGTCTGTACCCAGCCTAGAATGAGCAGACAACATCAGCCGCCCCAGAACACAATTCAGGGCCAACACCAGCACCCTCTGCACCACTCTGCAGCTGCAGAGGGAGAATCGGGCACCTGTTTTAGCCACATCTGACCAACAGGCCTCGCTGTGAGATTTGCCCATTCAGATGAGCAGATGGTGGGTACGGCAGGTTGCATTGCTGAGGCCCATGGCTCTCTCAGCTCTCTGAAGCTTATGATTGCTGGCACACGGAGACCTGGATGTACATTTGGGAATGAGTGCCTGCTGAGCAGAAGAGGCGCCTGCCAGGGCCTGAAGTTGGCACCCTTGCTGCCTCATCTACTCATCTTTCCCATTGTCTGACTTCCCACGTAGATGGACACTACTGGTGGCTCCCTGTACCAGCCCTTTCTGCTAAAAATCAGTTCCTGGTACCTGTACTAGAATTACCCGATAAGGTCAGGGACTGAGTGGATTTGAGGACTTGGCACACGGTGTATGTCCAAAGCTTGCTGGTATGTTTGTAAAGAAATACTTTAGTGCTCACTCCTGGGGCCTGGTTCCTTTCTGATCCTTAGGGACCAGGCAAGGACAGAGCTCCAGGTCAGCCCTGTAAAAAGGGCCACGGCAGGGCCTGGTTAATCCTCCTGTTACCACCCAAGATTTACAACAACCTCAACCTCCTTTACTCTTTTTTTCCTTGTTTCAGGCCCCCTCCTCCCTCAGATACCCAGGATTCTTTTTTTGTTCCCTTCTCTTCCTGTCCCAGGAGTGAGGCATTTGATGGAGAACTCATTCATTTACTGAAAGGTTTGGATGATCAAGATGTTCTTCCTCTGAGAAAGATTTACAATTTAAAGGAGACTAAGGGAGGCAGGCACCATTTCCCTCTGAGGAATAAACCAAAACCAGTGACATTTCAGCCTCCAAAGACGGCCAAAGAGAAATTATTTTCAGATTGGAGCTGCCCTATCTTAAATCAAACCACAGAGACAAGTCCTTGTTCTCTATGCATAAGATTGCTACTGGTTCCTCTGCAAAAAAAGCTTGAATAACTAGGACGTAAGCCTGAGGCTATTCCTGCGCTGAGGCCCGACCCAGGATTGCGTTCCTGAACCTGAATTGCGGGCGGAGGACCTTGAGGACGCTGTCCCTGTGCACCTCCTTTGCCCCTGTCCTTTGCCCCTGTCGTGCTGCTGCGCCGATTCCCTCTGTGCAAGCGCCATGGCGCTCCATGTGGCTGGGCGGCTGTGCTGGGAAGCTAGTGGCTGAGGCCTGTGACGCGGGGTGCGCAAGGTGATCGTGACGGTGACCATCCGTAAGCACCCTCCATTCTGTGCCCTCACCCACAGGCCCCGTGGCGAACTCGGTGGCTAACCAGAGAGAAATCCCAAAGAGGGTTCTCCTGAGCAGCTGTGAAAGCAGAATCTGGTCCCTCCAGTGTAATCGAGACCGCTTGGGGCAACTTGCGCTGGTAATTTACAATCGAGGGAGGCAGGGCAGCCAGGGGGAACCCTCTTGGGTCATCTGCCTTATCACCCAGAGGCTGATGGCCTCAGTCATCCAGCTTGTTACAGAAGCAGCAGGTCGTTTGCCTCACCCGGAGTCCCACAGGGGCTGGAGCTGGGTGAGGAGCTGAGGGGAAGGGACAGGCAGTGTCACCCTGCGGGCTGTCAGGAGCAAGAGGGCAGACTTCCTCGGGGTGTTTCTGATCCTGTTTTCTGCAAGATTTTTTACCCTCTACCGGCCATTCTCTTTGTTAAAGGGAGTTATTTTCTGTGCTGGATTGATTGGCCATATCTAGAATCTATTTTCTCCAAAGGCGTTGTTGCAAATGTCCATTCTTCCATGCTCTCCTGGGGTTTAAAGAGATCCGACATGGACAAGAAATGGAAGAAATTTAAAACCCAAGAGGGAGCGGAGCAGGATGGTACAGGACAGCCGGCTTCTCTCTGAGTCAGTTTTTTCCCACTACTGGAGCAGCTCCATGGCAGAGAGAGGGATTTCTTAAATCAATTTCCCTCACAATGCTGCAGAAAACCTGATGAGTGAGGCTCTCTCAGAGGTAAAAAAAAAAATTTTAATCTCCCTCTCTTTACGCAAAAGGGTCAGCCCATTTGTGGGAAATCCCAAACCATGTGTACATGCAGAAGGCAAATTGTAGATCTGTGAGATCCCACTCATTCATTCAGGAAACCTTTCCATGTTTGGCCCTGGAGATATGAAGATGAATACGATGGCCTGCCACACGGGTTCACAGTCGGATGATCAGTGCGACTGAACAGAAGTCCACCATATCCAACCTATTATCACACCCCAAAAGTAGCTCCAAAAACAACCCTCAAATCTGTCCATTTCTCTCTGTCTTTACTGACACCACCCCCATCAAAGCCACCATGATCTCTTGTCTGGACTTCAATAGTGGCCTCCTGTCCCATTGTAACAGTGCACCGTATTATTGTCTACCAAATATTTTATTTTCTTTCCTTGCAGTGCCCCTCCCCGGAGGGGATACTTATCCTGTCTGTTGAACTCAGGAATGGCCATATAACTTGATTTAGACAATAAAGTATGGGAAGAAGTGATGTGTGACACTTCTAGGCAGAGGTTTCAAGGGCTAGTACATGGTTTGCTATGTCCCCCTTCCTGCTATAGTGACCGTTGTTGTTCAAGATGGTGTGGCTGCTCCACGTGCCTGGGTCCTGGAGTGAGTGGATGTAGAACAGAGCTCCCAGCTGACCTGCAATGGATATGGAGCAGGAGTGAGCAATCAAATGCTGTTGACGTAAGCCACAAAGACGCTAGGATTGTTTGCTACTGCAGCATAGCCTAGCTTACCCTGGCTGATACGTTTCCTAAACGGTTTCCATTTTTCTGCCTTGCCCTACTCCAATCCAATCTTCCAACAGCAGCCAAAATTATCCTTTAAAAACAAATCAAACTCACTAGAAATCTTGCCGTGGATTTCCATGGCGTTTAACATGAAATCTGAGCTCCCTAACATGGTTCCTGTTTTGGCCCTGGCTTTTTTCCTATCCTCCTTTTTTTTTGTCACTAGTTGTCACACTCCCCATGCCCATTGTCCCATATCATGTGCCTCAGCTACACTGGCTTTCTTTCAATGTTCCTAATAAACCAGACTCTTATTTCTGGGTCTTTCCACACATTGTATCTACTCATTGGAACATTATTTCACCATTTTTAATCACGGCTGCTTCCTTCTCATACTGGTGATTTCAGCTTAAATGTTACCTCCTCAGAGAGGTTTACCCTGTTTATCCAATTAAAAATGAGTGCCCCCTTGTTCTTGTCATTAACAAACTTGTTCTTTTCATTTACAGCACTTATTATGGTCTTTAATTCTCTATTAGTGTAATTGTTAACTTTTATATTGATCATCTACCTCCACTGATACACAAACTCCATGAGGATAGGGTCCATGCCTGTTTTCTTCACAGTTGCATATCCAGCACCTTACACATACATATTGAATGAATGGATGAATGAATGGATACACGAAGTAAGTGCTTTTACAGAATCGTGATTAAAGTGGTAGCAGCAGGAACCCACATAAGAGGGAGTACATGGCAGGGATATTTTCAAAAAGGAAAATATATTTAAGAAGGTACAGATCTGAACTAAGGAGGCTCTGAAATGGCACAGAAGACTTATTTCTGGCTAAGACATAAGGCTGGCTCCAATAGTAATCCAGAATTCCAAGTTACACTCAAAGAAAGTCTAGACTACAAGTCAAAATCTCATGGAACCAGTCATTAGACAGAATAGAATCTCCAAGACACAGTCCACATCCCTACTCTTTCTCCTACCTCTCCATACCAAAGAACATATCATTACAAACCACTATAGGCAGGTTCCCTATTGCAGTGGTGGGTTTTTTCTTTTTCCTCTAATAGAATTTTGAAAAACTAATGTACCCCCTTGTCTTAGCTCATTTCGTGCTGCTATAACAGAATACCAAAGACTGGATAATTTATAAAGAACAGAAATTTTATTCTTTCATAGTTCTAGAGTACAATATTAAGACACTGGCATCTGATGAATGAAAGGATGAAAGCTGTGTCCTCACATGGCAGAAGAGTGAAAGAGGACAAACCCACTCCTGCAAGCCCTTTTTATAATGGCATTAATCTACTCATGAGGGTGGAGCCCTCATGACCTAAACACCTTTCAAAAGGTCACACTTCCCAACAGTTGCATTTGGGGATTAAATTTCCAACACATGAATTTTGAGGGACACGTTCAGACCATAACACCCTCAACACATGTATAAGTCAACATTTAAATTTTTCATTGTAAGTTTAAGTATTTGCAAGGATGTTATTTTTGGCATTATTGTAAATATTTTTAAACTTTTTTATTTATTTTTACTTTTTTATTGTATATAGTTTAAAACTATCACATCACGCTGACATTTATCTAATTGAACCAAAATACTATAGTGATTTGATATCTACAGCTTTTAAATGTAATCTTCTTTCACAGTTGCAAGTTTTATACCATTGCTTTTTCTCCTTTAACTCACATTTTGATTGTACTTTGCCCACAGAATTTTACACTAACATAAACTTATTGGCAATAAAATATTGATATATTATGAATCTTGAAAAATAATTATTAAACATAAAAATCAAATTTTATCAAAAATGCATCTTTCGATGAGATAGATGAGGCTTCTTTTTTCAATTAGTTGAATCTATGGGTTAACGTTACTTTTTGCTAGAATAAGACNAATTTTATCAAAAATGCATCTTTCGATGAGATAGATGAGGCTTCTTTTTTCAATTAGTTGAACCTATGGGTTAACGTTACTTTTTGCCAGAATAAGCTTCAGAAACAATTCTGTTTCTATTTACTGTGTTTTAAAATGTAATTGTCAAGATACCTTGTTCACATAAGTACATATACAGGTGTGTATGGAAGGCAAATAGGTGTGTTTAAGAGATACTACTCGATTCTTTAAACTCTTTTTTTTTTCCTTTTTGTCTTTTTTACTGACCGGCAACGGGATCACAACCCTCGGTGTTGCACCCGCACCACGCTCAGCCGGTGAGCGGGAACCGGTCTCCACGTGGGATCCGAACCCTCGGCGGGAGCGCCACCGCACTCCCAAGCGGCGCACTCTCCAGTGCACCACTGGGCCGGCACTAAACTCTTATTTTTATCCTAAAAATAAAGTGATCTATCATCACAAATTATTTTTAATATCTGACAGCTGACAACTCCATTAGGTCTTCCTTCAACTTTATTGAAAGTGAAGAGTTGAAACCCACCCAACTTGCAAAAGGATTTGTTACCTAGTCAGTAGATCCACATCCTTAAATGCTGAGAAGTATATCAAAGAGTTTCTACCAAGACTTATCAAATGACTGTCATTTGTACATTTTACCCTTTCACTTAAAGATATCTTGTTTAACCTGATACACACATAAAAGATTGGGAAAATCAAATTATTGCTTATTTTATTACACCTTTTCCAATATATTTCTTATTAAATGCTTTAATATTATCACATGCTTTAAATATTTTTGATACAACTCTGGAGATACACATGTAGCTCACTCATTAATGGAAAATATCTGCCATATGAATAGCCCTCATTGTCAAACCATTTAGCCAAATAGGCTTACTTTCTGTCAGAATATATCTGACTTCATTTATTAATCCAAATAGATGTATTAAAACATGTCTCTATGACAACCACCTACTACAGATAGACAGATATTACCCCTAGCCTTGCCATGGAATAAGACCCTGCCTTCACTACTCCTTATCAAAAGTCACAGGAATCTCCCTCAGTAGGGAATGTTTCTTTGGCAATATCTAGAGTATGTGAAAAAACAAGGTCTTTAAAAAAGTACTGTATTCTACTTGTTCCTTTGTCTGGTATCACAGAACTTTTTTCCATCCTGGGCAGTGCATTACAGTATGATTTGGGATGAATGAGAGATACATGTTTTTCCTTGGTAAAGTAGGAGGAGGGAGACTATAAAAGGGAATATGAAAGAGAGAAAAAGCCTTGTTTTCAGGCCACCTCTACTCAATTTTTTTTCAATTTATTTATTTATTTATTTATTTTACATTCTAAGATGTTGCAGAGCAGCAGGAGGGGGAGGGAAATGGATATGGGAGTGAGGGGTAGGGGCTGAGGCCCGCAGGACCCCCCCACACTGGCTTGGGAGCCCAAGTAGGATACAAAATAGAAATGAGATTTTTCATTTATTCATTCATTGGCTTGTTACAATGCAGTTGTGATATGCCAAACATTTTGCATAATAATGCTTAATCCTTGCAATAATGCTGCAAGGAAGCTATTATTGCTGCATCTTATAGCAGAGAAAACTGAGGCTCAGTGAGGTTCATCCTTGCCCCGTGTCTCAGGGCTAGCAAGGGGCAAACTCAGACTCACAAGGCCTTTGTAGTTTTCACTATGCCCAGCTGCCCCTTACCTTTTGCCTACCGTGCCCACTGCATGCAGGAAATGCAGCCACAACAATAATAAACAGATGAGATATCTTTCTCCTTTACGTCCTATGCCTATTATTTAGGGTTATGAGTCATGTCCCAATTAACTGTAGAAATTGAATAATGTGGAGAAATTTAAATGGTATGAAATC